CAGCGTGGCATCCAGATATATATGCCAGAGTGTTACTTGTGTTTTCGGTGGACTAGGCTGACGACGTAACATTAAGACAAAAATATGGAAACGAAGATAATATGAGTTTTCAAAAGACCAGTTGGTTCGAGAGGGAGAGGAACGATGACATTCACTCCATCAAACTCCCTTTTTCTCAATGCAAAAGTTTACGCGCAAAATGGTTATTTTGGAGTGCACGAGCCGGCGCTTATCCGACAGAATAAATGAATATCTCCTGCCACGGCTGAGAAAAGGTGAAGTCAGGAGCATAAACAAGTCTATTCTGGCGCATCGAACATCCAGTGGACCCCGACGAGGCCTTCGAATCATCTTTTAAGTTGCACCAAACTCCAAAGTCCCTGGGTCAGCGCCTGCTAGCAACAACAGAAGCGACCACTATCGGGTTCTGTGCACAAAAACACTTCTTACAAGCTAAACTTCAGGCGTGGCCGACTGTCATCTCTCGGCATGAGCTCATCCGCGCTCTGTTTATCTCCCTCCTCCCCTAGAGTGGCTGCATAAAACTCTTTCCTCTTAATTACCCTCCTCTTATCGATCCCTCCCCCCTATATTTTTCACTCACTTGTAGGAAAAGACGAACACATTTTAATTTGTACTCTGTTCCAATATAATTGCACCGGGCTGACGAAAATTTATCGCAAGCCTACGTACGCTCACCAATTACTCCCCTGAATTCCCTGATAATATAAGTTCTCACAAAAGTACTTATTTCGAAAGGGAGAGGGAAGATGGCATTTTAACTATCCAACTCTCTCGTTTTCCAACGCAAACGTTAAGGTTCAAAAATGTTCTCTAGAGGTGCCTACTTAACCAAAACTAAGAAGTGATTCGTATGCACGTTAGGATCGGTATTTCCCTAAATCTTTCTTCAATAACTGCCAGAAGTGCAAGGTGCAAAAGTTGCCTCGTCATAAAACATGGTATGGTCCAAAGCATCTTCAGCAAATACAATGTTGTAATTGAATTTTTTTCGAAAAAATAACGTCTTGGTCAGTTATAATTAACTAAATAGATCATGAGTAGGTATAAGCTCTATTGTTATTGAAAGCGCTTTTGCCAGTTAACGGGCATTCTCCTTAGTGCAACAGTGAATATCGGCAGAGTAATTGCGTACGTTGTAATTTACCATATTCACAGCCTAGGTACTCCCCTTAAGGCCTAGACACGTGTTTCGCCGGTATTCTACCGCTGCTTGACACAGCTGCGGGGAATCCCCCAGCTTTCCCTGTCTGCTTTTTGGTTGATATACCAGTTTTGAAAGTTTATCTGTTTAAACTCCTGAAAAATTAATTTATACTTAAGATATATAGGCACAAAATGCAGTACGACATTTAAGTTCACTTAAGCCGGTATCTTGCAATTATATG